TCTTGGATAGGCCATGGGACTTCGACTGTGGGGTAGGGGTCCTGCCATATGGCAAAAGAAGTGGTGGTGACCCCTCTCCCCACCTTCCATGGCCCCAATTCCATTGCCAGACAGTTGCACTTATTTCTGGGTTGGTTTTAAGGATAACATCTTTCTAACCCCTATAGATGAGGCTGGGGGGTGAGGGAAGGCGAGACGGGCATCTGCGGAAGTAGACCCAGAACCCAGGACTGAGGACAAGCCGTTTAAGCTGGAGGAGATCCCAGGAAGCACCGGGACAAAGGAAGGAAGGTCGGGGAAAGAAGGGAAAGAGCCCGAGGAGGCGTGTCCGTGAGCAGGTGGCCTCTGTGAGCAGCGGGGGTTCAGTCCCAGTGGGGAGGAGCTCAGAGTTGTCCCAGTCAATGAGGAAGACCTGGGAAGCCTTACTGGTTGAGAGCTTTATGCTCTCAACATATGTGTTGGCACTGGGGCCAACACATTATACGGGAACGGTGTGTGCCCAGTAGCTCTAGGCAGGGCATGGCCGCATCTCCCCAGCAGCAGGGACAGGTAGTTATGAGCTGATGGTGACTGTGTCCTAACCCAGATCCAGCCAGGCTACTATGGAGCACAGAGAAAGGAGCACGTCCCCTACTCCTGCCAGCCACACTGGCAGCTCCTGGAGCTTCCTATCCTCCGACCTCGGCATGTGCTGTGCCCTCAGCTGGCAAGGCTCCGTCAGTCTTTCTCTCTCAGACTCCCACTCACTGTTCTGGACTCAGTACTTGGTGTAGAAAACCTTCCCACACACCCACCTGCTTCTGGCTAGTCTCCTTCCCTCACTCTCCCAGAGCTCGCTACCCGTATTGCCGTGGCCCAGTCCTTTGACCATTTCGTATCTGTCAGATGGACTGCGTAACAAAATACCACAGACTGAGGGCTTCAACAACATTAATTTGTTCCTCACAGTTCTGGAAGCTGGGAAGTCCGTGATCACCTGTCAGCAGGTTTGGTTTCTAGTGAAGGCTCTCTTCTTGGCTTGTAGAGACCCATCTCCTCGCTGTGCCCTCACAGGGCCTTTTAGGAAACTCTTTTCCTCCTCTTACAAGGCACCAGCCCTATCAGATCAGTACCCCACCCTTATGAGCTCATTTATCCGTAGTTACCTACTTCTAGACCCCATCTCCAAATATAGTCACACTGGGGGTTTTCCATGGGTGGATTTGTGAGGAACACAATTCAGTCCACAGTACATGTCCTCCATGGGTTTGTGATCAGTTCTTGAGGTCAGGGACAGTGTCTCTTTCACCTCTGTTTTGTCATGCCCAGCTCAGCAAAGATCTGTGGACGAACTAGTCTATCTGGATGGAAAGAAAAATGTTAACAGTTTGGGGAAGGGGATCATATCATGGAAGTCTTTGCAGAGAAGATAGTGTCTCTGCTGGGTATTGAAGGATGAATAGGAGTTTGCTAGATGGGGCACTGCAGGCAGAGGAAAGAGCCTTTACCAAGGGGGGCATTGTGCGTGGGAGGGAAGTGGGGGCTACTGCTTAAGAAATAAGAGCGATCAGGGAGGAGGAAGGAAGAGTCTGGGGAGGGAGTCTGTGGCCCGGTGATGCTTGTAAAGGAGTCAGGGACTAGCCCCAGAGGTCCTCCAGGGAGGTCTCCAGGCAGAGGATGGCACAGGCACGTGTGTGTTACAGAGAGATTGCCATGGGCTCCTGAGCGCAGGATGGACCAGAGGGAATGATGGATCCCAGAGGAGCAGAGGAGAGAATTGCTGTCAGCCATTAAAGGGTGCTCTCGGAAATGACCGTTAACTGAGGAATATTCCTTGGACCTCAGGATTCAGATGGAAGAAAAGGGAGCGTCTATTATTCACGAAACCTAGTTCGGTAATCGCCTGGCAGCCTCCGGGGGCCACCAGGGCAGCTCTGCTGCCCTTCCTTGTTAAATTTGCAGGAAATGCGCTCACTAGGGACATGCCCCTCCCAGGAGGGGCTGTTCTGGGGGCCAGAACTCGCAACACAGGTGGGCCACCTCCATGGCCCCAGGATTTCTTCCATCCAGAAGGTGGGGGTTGGGGAGGGGAAAACAACGGGGATGGGAACTAGTTCTGCAATGATCCAGGTTTCACTTAGTAGTAGATGGGTTTCCCCTTTGGAGGGCTGTCTGGGGACTAAGGACTAGCCTGGGGTCAGCCCTGTGTCCCAACGGGCCCCTGTCTCATGACCAAGTATTCTAACCACGTCTCAGAGCATAGTTGATAAAACTGTCAGCCCTCCCGGCTTTACAGGTGGTGGAGGCAAAGAGTCAACAGACAGAGGCCAGTGTGGGGACGGGGACAGCAGGTGGGCATGATGAATCCTGGCACGGGTGGGGTGCAGATTCCCTAAAGAGCCGGCAAGGGGCTTGTGTGACGTGGCGACTTCTGAGCTGAACTGGGAAGGGAGAGAGGGACCTCACCTGGGAGGAAGAAGGGCCCATGTGGAAGCTCAAGACCTGCTCCCTTAGGGAACTCAAAGAAAGGTTGCAGGACTGTGACATACGGGACAGACCCCAAGACCTCGTGCGGAGTGGGGTGCTGAGTGGGGACCCCGGCTGTCTGGGAGCCGCTGTGTCCGTCCAGGGAGGGGTGAGAGTGGACCCAGTGCGGTCTGTGTGACCATGTGTCCCAGACTACCTGGGTTGGGCCAGGTGCATGCTGTGTCCCGGGGCCATTGGGTTAGAGTACCAGCTTCCCGGCTGTGAGTGCTTTGGGTGGGAATGAGCCAACGGACATGTGCCGTGGAACCAGGACTTCTGGGGGGTGGTCCTTGGGAGAGAAGCGCACCCACTTCTGACTTGCATAATGGTGGGGGGGTGCGTACAGTCATGACGTTTACTGAGATGGGCAGACAATATATGTGTGGCCCGCCTTCTGGGGGGATACCCCAATGTTCACAAGAGCCATTGCATTCACTGGGATGAGACCAGAGGGGGCTATAAGGTCTGTGTCCCCCAGATTCATATGAGGAAGCCCTAACTGCCCCCATGTGATGGGGCCTTGGAGAGGTGATGAGGCCACGAGGGTGGGGCCCTCACAAGGGAACCTCGCCCTTGAAGGGGGAAGAGCTGGATGAAAAGCATCTGCGTCCGCCAATGAGGACACAGCGAGAGGCAGGCGTCTGCAAGACAGGAACAGGCTGTCACTAGAACCCAATCCCCCTGCACCTGGTCTTGGACTTCCAGATCCCACAACTATAAGAAATCAGTGTTTGTCATTTAAGACACCCACCAAGTTGATGGGATTTTGTTATCGGAATCTGAGCAGGCTGAAACAGATCAGGAAACATTTAATCCCAGGACAGCAGGGGTGACCATGGTGGGGCAGACCAGCAGAGCCCTCCCGCGTGGGAGACCAACCTGCATTTTCTTCCCTTCCTGAGTCCTGTGCTCCAGCCATAACCAGCTCCTGAAGTTTCCAGAACCTGGGAGGCTAACTGCTGCTCCACGTGTCTGCTCCTGCTGTTCCCTCAGCCTGAATGCCCTTCCCTTCATCGGCCACTAGGAATGCTTCCTCACTGTCAAGACTTTGGTCGGAAAGCCTCCCCTGCCCTCTGGGGTGCTGCTGCTTTCCACAGAAACTCTCCTTATGCGCCATCAGCAGAAGGGGGTCTGTGTGCTGAGAAATGACACACGCGGCAAAGTGGCTTTCATTTTCACGAATTAGGGTACACCGTCCTTTATTTTTCCAGGCTGTCCTGGGAGCTGACGGGACATTGCACTAATGAAAAAACGGGGGTTTCCATTTGCACGGGGCTCAGATTGCTAAAGGGAAGGAAGTGTATCAGGTGCCAGAAACTTGCCTCCCTGGCCGAGCCGGGCTGGTGGGAAGCCGGTGTGCAACGGGGTGTGTGGTGGGGCTGGAGGGATCGGAGTCACGCTGACTCACAGACGGGACAGCCAGGACACACAGAAAGACACAGCTCCGCAGGAGACAGGGGAACAGACTTGGGTGACACCTTCCCAGTGTTTCGTAAATCTCTCCACCCACATTACAAGCATCCTGTGACAGGCGTTAGCACTTCCCGTGCCTCATCAGAGATAGGGACACCTTTGCGGGGGGGAAAGGGGGTGGCTAGCCTTCTGTGCCGGGACCCTGTGCCGACCTCACAGGCCAGAAGAGGGTGGCGTCTCCCTCTTCCTTCCCCAGCGGCCAGGTGCCTGTCTCGGGACCACGTAGGCACGCACGAGGCTTCAACCCTGGGGGGCTATGTTTCACTGCAGGAAAGACGGGCACAGCAAGGGCTACGTTGGGTATTAGGCTGGGTGCATGGAAATCCTTTATTCTGGGGCTTTGACCATCAGAAGAGGGCGTTTTCTCTCCAAGACGGGGAGAGTAACAGCGAGGCGGACAGTCGCGGCTACGCGTACAGACAGCATCACACGGGCGAGGATGGCCCTTCAGGGCACCTGTGGGACAGGTGAAAAAGAAAGCAACAATAACAACAACGACGACCATGGAAAGAAAACTGGCAAGGAGCCCTAGGGGTTAGGAGCCCACCAAAAAGCAAAAACACACAGATCCGGACAGTGGAGAATAAGGCTGGAGGCGCTCCCCTTCCGCGGGCCCGTACAAGGGAACTCTATATATGTCGTCTTATGTTTAAGTAGGCTATGCTCTTTAATAAAATAAAAACTTCTGTGTTACTTTAAAGATATCATTTAGGCATCTAGGGGATGATTCGGAAGAAAAATGCAGTGCATGGAGGGCCCCGGCCGAAGGTACCCTGTCAGGCTGACGTTTGTCCCTAAAAACAGACGCGTCACAAGCGGTTGCAAAAATCGTGCACCCCACGCTTGACTTCATGCAGCCCTGGGCGCTCTGCGGCCCCCTCCCTGGCATGGCCGTGCCTCCCCCCAGGAGGGGGGTGCTGAGCGAATGGGTGGGGGGCGAGCAGACCCTGGGAGCCAGACGCCCATCTGTCTGTGATTGTGTCAGCGACTGTCATCGACCAACCGCCTGAAATCCCAAGTCCCAGGCACCTCTGTGCCCCCAGGGCCTCGTGCGGGGGGCTGGGGCACTGCACAGGGGTTTGAGAAGGCGGGCTACACGCCGTGTAGATGTCCCTTGATCTCCTGGGACCACTACTTTGCAGCGTCTCCCTAATGCCAAGCAACAGTGGGGAAGGAGCCGTGCAAAGCAAGGCATCTGAGCTCTGAACCAGAGGCAGGAGCACTGCTGGCGGAAACAGAGGTCGCACCGGCTCCGGGACCTCCTCCTGCCCAGCCTCCAGCCCAGCCCTCTCCAGGGGCCCACCGCCCGCCCCCCGTGGACACAGAGAAGCCAGAGCCAGGTGCAATAGGAGGGGTTTTTGTGGTTCTCGCCGGGTGTCCCGTGCTCTGCCGCCGGGCGTGCACGTGGTCACACACGCTGGTGGCAGTCAAAACAGTAGGGCTTTCTTCTTGAGGTCATTCCTCTTCCAGAGGGCCAGGCGGTCAAACTCTTCCATGCTCATCCCAAACACTTCCTGGAAATCCTCGGGCGACAGGTGCCTCTGCAAACCAACAGGAAAACCCAGAGAGGAGCAGTGAGCAGCTCTGCAACGCACTGCCAGACCAGCTCCGTGCTGCTGGGCGGTCTGCAGGCAGGATGGGTGTCCAGGCGGCCATGGCCCTCCCCCACCCATGTGCCCTATGGGGCCGTCTAGTTCCCTGCGTTCCCTCTGCTTCCCTGCTATTCCCATGCTGCAGCGCTGGTCACTGAGCCTAGAGAAAGAGACTTGCTTAGGGGCCCGACCGAACAGGACTCACACAGGGTCCTCCTACGTACCCCCGTTTGCAGAATTACTCCCAGTGGCCACAACACGGAAATACCCAGCTGCCTAAGTAGGGTCCGTGCACACAGAGTGGAGCACACTCCATCCACAAGAAGCCGCGAAGGCCTGATGCACAGGGCAACGCAGTTAAGACATGCGACAGGAGGGCCAGGGAAGGAGGCTGGATGCAAAGGTCCCCAGAGTGTGTGGTTCTGTTTCTACGAAGCTTCAGGAAGGGGCAATCCACAGGGACCAAGAACGGAGAAGCGGCTGCCAGGGGCTGGGGACGGACGGGAGTGGGGAGACACTGCTCGACGGGACAGCATTTCCTTTCAGGGGGATGAAAACATTCCAGAACTTGATTGAGGAGGTGGCTGCACACGGGATGAATGTGACAGGAATTTTACAATGAAAGGGAACAATTCTTGTCACTCCCACCCATGCAGTTTTCTTGACTTTAAAACAAAACTACTCATCCTAAGGGTTGTGATGGTCCAGAGAGAAACAGAGGTGAAGACATTTGGTGAACTAGGAAAAGCACAGACACCCATGCCGACTGTTCGTGGCTTCACAAAAGTCCCTAGATCCGTGAGGCAGGCAGCGGGTTTTAGAGCCGGATGTCGGCATGATCCAGAGGAGGGAACCCAGGACTGCACTCAGTCTCCCGTGAGTCACCGAAGGGCCTCCTGGTTGAATTGGGGCCCCGAATACTCGGTGCATTCATGTGCATGCACATACGGACACAAGGACACACAGACAGCGACACACACATGGACACACAGACACACACACAGACACACGGACACACATATACACACACACATACACAGAGACACAGAGACACTCAGGCACACACACACAGACACACATAGACGCAGAGATGCATAGATACACACAGACACAGAACACACACACACACAGATACATAGACACACACAGAAACACACACATACACACACACACACACACACACACACACACACACCATCAAGCGAGACTCTGCCAGAAAGGGGCTGGCTGCCCCCCGCTCTCTTGAGCTTGAGCACAGGAAGAGATGCTGGCGGCCGCAGAAATGAACCGTCCACACGGCATGAACACCAGCATGCCATGGGGCTCACAGCCAGTCCATGGAGACAAGGAATTGTCATCAGACAACAGCACCCCGCTTCTAGGTACCAAATCACAACCTTCCCCATCACCGTGGGGCAACTGCAACGTGAAGAGGACAGGACAAGAGCCAAAATGTGTCCCCTGCTCTCAGCACCGACCAGTGGCCTGGCTGGGATGGAATCACAGGCCCCTGGGGGAGCAGACAGCCGTGCAGGGGATCCAGGGACTGTCTAGAGCGCGAAGCTGGTGTCGGGGGAGGGCGTCTCACTTTCTTCATGCTGTCCTCAGTGGATGACCCGAGAGGTGCCCCCAGGTGGCCCTGCTGAGTAGGCAGGGACCTCCAGGCTGAGCCATTTGAGGGGGTCGTCAGGTTGGGGATACACAGGAGGGGGATGAGCAGGAGGCATGGCACCCCAGCGGTGGGAGGACAGTGCCGAGGGGTGACTGTGTGCTCAAGCCTAGGGGCCCACCCCACCCAGGGCAAAGGGGACTGTGGCAGCTGGGAGATGTCCTGGGGGAGCCCGGGGGGCAGAGAGCCCTGTCCCTGCAGGTCCCACGCAGCTCACCTGCACCTTCGGGACCAAGCTGGCCTGGGAAGTGCATTGGAAAGCTGCACAGAGCCCAGGTCCGGTGGCCATGGAAAGGCGCACCCTCAGGATCTGTACTCTGGAGACATGTGGTGGAGCAGTGGCAGGAGAGAGTCGGGCAGGCCAGAGGGCCAGAGGAGCTGGTGTGGTGCTCTTGCCCAGTGCCTGAACACAGGCGGGCTGCTGGAGGTGACTGGCCTGTCCTTGGGCAGGAGGCCCCACCCAGCCCTGAAAGAGATTCAAGGCTGGCTCCCGCCTTTTGGGCTCCCTGTGGGGGCCCGGGGTGCAATGTGTACTTAATTTTGATGATGCGGTCCCGCATTCCTGCTGCCTCCAGGAGCCCACCGTGAGCAGGGAAGGCAGGGTGGGCTTAGGAGAAAGAGGGGAGCTTACCCGGGTGCATCTCCCCTGCCACCTAGGTGAGAAGCAGCTGAGGCATTCGAGATAAACTTGCTCGGGGTCATGGAGCTTGAAACTGGGGTTGGTGTGAGAAGGAGGCCTGGGGGCTCTGGGAGTTTGTGGCAATGGTACAATCAGGAAAGGCTTCCTGGAGGAGCCGCCATCCATGGCCAGGTCTGAGCAGTGAGCAGAGGGGGCTGACATTCCAAAGGTGGAAGAGCACAAGAAGACCCAGATGTGCTTCTTCCCATTTTCTAGAATCGTAACCCAAGTCAGGTCACGTGGCACAGCTGGACCAGGATGGAACCAGGACCAGAGTCCTGGGGGGCCTGTCTCCTGGGCGGGAGGTCCCTTCATGACACTTGCCCGGAGGGTTCATATGTCAGCAGACCCCCAGCAAAGCACGTAGGGCCCCTGCCACCTTGCAGAAGTGGTCTCCTGAGTCTACTCAGGTATCTTCCTTCACCCCGTGCCCCATGGCAGGTAGGACACGTGGGACACAGCTCACCCCAGGGGCTGAAGCCAGCTTTCTGGCCGCAGGCCGACTCCCCCGGCCCCAGCTCCCCAGGAGGAGGGGCAGCCCAACCCCCAGGTGCTTGCCAAGGTCAGGCATGGCCAAGCTCCTTCCTGAGTGAGTAGGGAGGAAGCCCAGGGTGGGGCACCTTTGTAGAGGGGTGTCTTGGCCTCATTCTGACACAGCCTCATTCCTGGAGTGCACTGGGCTCCCCAAGAAGTACCCCTGGGGAGACCACTTCCGCAACGTGGCATACTCACGTATGTGCTCACTGCTCAGACCTGGCCGTGGACCCCGGCTCCTCCAGGAAGCCTCTCCCGATGGCACCCTCGCCACAAGCTCCCGGAGTCCCCAGGCCTCAATTTCACACTAGCCCCGGTTTCAAGCTGCCACTGTGCTGTCACTGAGGGCAGAGTTAGGGAGTTGGGTCCCTGTGAGGGCTATGGGATGACCCAGGAGGGGCCTGTTGATGGGACACCTGTGACCCAGAAGCCTCGTTGCCTTAAAAAGCATTAATGATCTTTCTGCCAGTCTCTTGGGGCTAGAAGGGGGTTTTCTGAGGGAAATGAACCTCTGACTTCACTCTGTGATTTGGTGCCCTTGGTGGAGGCTTCCCGAACATGTGAGTCATAAGGACCAGCCACCTGCTCGCTGCAGGAGCTCATCCGAGGAGATGGCCCGACCTCCGATGCGCATACATCTTCCCACAGAGAGAAGGGCCATGAATGGTAGGTGTGTGAGGCACAGGGCACTCCCACAGTCACCTCCTTTCTGCAAGGCTGCAGACCCAGCTGAGGGCAGGGGGCGCTTCGGTGTCACAGAGCCTGCAAAGGGCACGTTGGAACTCCACCTGGGGGCCCAGGGCACTGCACTCCCAGACCACTGTGCGGCTCAGCCCGGCAGATGCCCAGAGCTTCCCACGGAACGAGGGCCCAACTCAGGCCTGCCATCCCGAAGCCTGGCCATCCAAGCTATCCCTTTGGTGGCAGATATCCCCAGCTTTTTCTGGGTAACATGGGTGAAGCTGCCCATCCCAGTAGAAACACATCTCTCACACAGTCTTGGTGTCCAGTGTCAGGGAGCTCCGTGGACACCGTGAGGCCCATGACAGGACCCCAGTTCGGGAGGCAAACTGCACAATTCTCCTGCACCGACCAAGGACCGTGGGTCAGGCTGAGCTGAAAGCTTTCACTGCACCTGCTGCCATCCTCACATCCTGAGATTCTCCTCCTTTTATTGCCCCAGGAAACCCTGGCTCAGAGAGGGCATGGGCCTTGCCCAAGGTCACACAGCCAGGAAGCTGCAGGTCTGGACCAGGGAGCTTGGAGGGGGCCCAGTGGCCAGAGAGCCCCCTCGGGGCCATGCCCCCTCTGCCCCACGCTGCGACCAGCCTGCCCTCCTGTGGTCTTCACCCTGCCGGGCACTTCCAGCAGCCCCTCACTTCTCTAAGCTCAGTGGTTCTCCTGGGAGGGGCCCGGCTGACCCTCAGCCGTTCCTTCCACCCATCCCACGAGGCAAGGCCAGCCCATGCACCCATGTCGGCAGCCCGGGGCTGGGGTAGGGGGTTCAGGCCACAGGCTTCCTGCCTCTCCTGGGCCAGCGAGGGGCTGCTTTTCACAGGAGAACCGAGCTTATCACCATCATCCCGACAATGGCCCCCGCCATCTGTGAAGCTTGGCCTATGTCTGGGGAGTGCTGGGAATGCTCCACCCACCGTCCCGTGAGCCCTCCCAGAGCCCATGTGGCAGGGAGGGGATGCAGGCTATGCCAGGTGGAGTGACATGCTGTCCAGTGGTTCGAGGCCCTGCACCACGATCAGGTGTCCCCCACCTCTCCCACCACCACTCTGCTCCAAGGGGGCTCTAGAACATGTCAGGATCTTTGCCACCCCAAGGCCTGCAGTGCTTTCTCTCCCTTAGCACAATGGCTCCTTCTTATCCTACATGTCCCAGCTCAAATGTCGCTTCTCCAGGGAGCCTTCCCGTGTTGCCCTAGCCAATCAGGCCCCTGCTGACCTGGTTACTGATGACCTCATCCGGCTCCCAGCTCCACGAGGGTGGGCATGGGCCTGCCCCTTCAGCCCAGTCTCCCTTCCTCCCTCCTCCAGGGACAATCTGGGTTGGTCACGTGTATCCCTAAATCCAAATGTCTGTTCCCCCCATCCCTGTCATACTGTCTCCCAACCTCCTCCCCTCTCCATGGGGTCTGCCTACCCTACTCTCCCTGTGGTTCCCTCTTCGCTCACCATCCTCCACCCTTGCAATCCCTGCCCCTCGGCCTGGTCTGGGAGCACTGCTCAGCCTTCGACCTGGGAGCCCCCGAAATGCCAGATTCTGGTGTAGCCCACGCCCATGCGCTGGGCACGCTCTCGGCTGCTGCCATCAGTCTATCAGGTTCTCACTGGACCGGTTGGATGAGTTTAAACAAAGGACGCATTCTTAACTGCAGGGTCCTTCCTTTCCAGTCGCATTCTGACTTGGGTTCTTACTGCTGGGGCAAACTCAGGAGTGCATTCAGCCTCAAGGTCTGGTGGGGGCAGTCCAGAAGCCACAGACTCCCTTCCTGCAGACCTGAGCACTTGCAAACCCTGGAGAAGAGATGGTGAGTCTGGAGGGCCCTCCAGGGACTCCCTGGGCCAGCCCCCAGGCCCCTGGCTGGACGAGAAGCCCCTTTTGTTCCTATTCTCTCGTTGGCTTCCCGGGATAACTACCCTTTCTGTCCCAGCCTCGCCAGGCATGGTGCCCAGCTGTTTGGCCAAACACTAGTCTTGGGGCTGCTAGGAAGACATTCTGTAGATGTGGTTTATGTTAGTAAAGGTTAGCCTCAGTAACAGGGACGGGGCAGGGGGGCTCATCCCATCTGCTGGAGGCCTTGAGAGCAAAACCTGCCTGCTTCCTGGGAAAGAAATTCTGCTTCGAAGTGTCAGCTTGGGCCTGGGTCTCCAGCACGCCAGCCTGCCCTACAGATTTCAGACCTGCCTGCACCCATGACTACTCAAGCCAGTTTCCGAAAATAAACGGCCATGTCCGTGTCTGCGTGCTCCCCTCTTTATCTCCCACTGGCTCTGTCTCTCTGGAAGGCTTGGCTGATAAAGAGTCCTAGCTACGCAGCAGAATGTCCCTCAGTGTGGACTGAGGAGTGGGGCACACCCGCCAGGACATCCTGATGCTAAGTCTGCCCTCTCTTCCCCGGGATGCCACCCTCGTGCAACAAGACACTGGTGTGTGAACGGAACAGTGATGTCTTCTGGCAAGTGCTGGGCAGAGATGTGCAGGGAGTGGCCCCAGGATATCTGATTCTGCCCAGGGACAGTCAAGGCTCCTTCCATTCCTGGAAGCTCCTGGAAGCAGACCCTCAGAGGGTAACATCCAAATGCAGGAAGGATGTGACAGCCTCCAGTGCATGAGGCCTTCAGGTCCTTGGTACAGGAGCCAGGGTCCAGACCCTCTAGGACAGAGAGCCCCGGATCTCAGGAATGGCACTCAGCCGGGCCCCTGATAGGTCTCCTGGGAAGTCTGCCTGCCCATCGGGGTTACATGGTTCCTCTGACCACACATCCCTGGAACCACACTTCCTGAGCTGCGGAGGACTGCCATTCTTCCCCCAAATGGCACCAACATCACAGAATACCCACGGGCTCTGTGCTACGGGCTCCTATTAGGCCCCTTTCATTTTGCCAGGCTAAGCATCCTGAATTCCCCCAGCCAAGCCTCATCGTGTCTGTGATCGTTAGGGTCCCGGCACATCCCGCTCCATCCAGGGGCCACCAGCACAGCCACCACCCCATCCCAGCACCCTGGAGTGACTCTAAATGTGTCCCTGCCACACTGCATGACCCATGACCCAGTCTTGCCACCTTGACGTTCCAAATAGTGCCCAAACCCCAAATCCGCCCACTGCGCACCTCGGCACTGCCACCACACTGTCCAAGATGCCCGCATCTCTTGCCTGGATGACTCCATTGCTTCCCAGTCTCTCTGCACCCACAGGACCAGGCTGGGCTTCCCGGTGCAGCCTCGCTGTTGTTTTGAATTACAAATTACAAATCTGATCAGGAAGCCCCTCAAATTAAAAGCCATTGTCCTTAAGACTAAAATCCAAACTGCTTAACGTGGCCTGGGACCGGCAAGACCTGGCCCCATTCTTACCTTCACCCTGCTCAAGTACAGACACCTTAGCCTCCTAAAATTCTTCCTCAAAGAGCTCCTGTGGCTTCCTGCCCCAGGGTCTTTGCACATACTGGCTGCTCTTCCTGGAATTTTCTTCCTGTGGGTCTCCCTCACCTTAAACACAGGCATATATGGACACACACACACACCAACACAACACTTCCTTTTACCCAGTTACTTCCTTTTTCCCAGTTAACTTTTACCCACTGTTGATGGCCCGTGTTCCTCCCCTTTAGAACCCTTATCACAGACTCATTTGGGTTATCAGTTGGTTGATTCTGCCTCCTGCATCAGACTGAGTCTGGGAGGGCAGAGCTCAGGCCCGTGTCTGCTCATCACACATCCCAGGACCCAGCTCAGGGCCTGAAACATAGTCAGCAAATGAAGGAAAGAGTCAGCTAAGCATTCTGGGAGCAACAGTCAAGAACGTGACCGAGCCTGCTTCTCCCTCTCCCTCTGCTGCTTCCCTTGCTTGTGCTCGCGCTCCCCACCCCCGGCTCTAATAAATGAATAAATAAAATCTTTTTTCTAAAAAGCTGATATCAAATTCCATAAACAGTATGAAGCTACTCATCAAAAATGGAATTCAGCAATTTTGGGTATTTGTGCCAAAAGAGATCTCCGGAATCATATCCACCAGCGTGGGGCCCACAGGAGTTATAACTTGGTGGGGGAATTCCGTGTGATGTTTGCCTTCTTCTTTGCATTTTTCTGGAGTTCTACAAGAGTTATAAAATGTTTTTATATTAAAAATAAAGCTCTCTCCCCTGAAATAAAAACATCAGGGGCCCTCCTGTCCTGCTGGGATACGGCCCCTCCTAGACCATTCCTGGCTCACCTCCCAGCTCCAGCCCAGAAGAATGTGGGACGTGCCCCACCGCGGGAAACATTTCCAGCTTGCCTTCCGGCTCGGCGGGGATGACAGGAGCGTGAATACAGAGACGCACCCTTGGGTGTGTTCTTGGATGATTAAACCCATGGCCCGGTCCTCCGAGTTTGCTCAAAGGAAGTATTTAGAGGCACTAACCGCTATTTTGCACCTTTTATCTGATATTTAGCAAAAAGAAAAGGGGGTGTCATTTAAAGGGCACCCTAATCCCTAGAGGGAAACAGCTAGTCCTAACAAGCTCTTGGCCCCAGGCCCCAGGAACCTCGGGCATCTTGTTCTGGGCTCAGCTCTCTCCATGAGGCAACCAGCCCACAGGGCTTGGCCCTTTAAGGAACAAAAACACACAGCAAACAGGCACCCTCCAGGCTGGGGACATGACCACACGACTAACAAGGACTCCACTGAGCAGGAGGCAAAGAGCATGTCCGCTGCGGAGCAAGTGGGGACTGTCATATCTGAACCCCATGCCAAGGCCACCCAGAACCCCGTCCCCCCCCATAGCAGGCACCCCGAAGATTCCCCTAAGGAATCTGATCCCAAGGCAGGACCGAGCCAACCCTGGGGGGACCACTCAACCCTATGAGCTCAAAAGGCCCTTTTTGCTTGAGTCACTTTGGGTCACTTGCAACCGGAAAGGTCCACACGGATGTGTCTCTGCACAAGGCTGCAGCCACACCAGCATCCCCAGACCCTCTCCCACCACCGTTACTCCCACTGAGGGCTGCTGTTCCCGGCTGTGGGCGAGGACCCCAGAGACCCCCTCAGTAGAAGCTGTATGTTCATCTGGAGGCGCACACATCAAGGTCAGATAGTGTGGGGGAAATCGGTGGCTGACCAGCATCACTGTGAGGCTTCCTTCTTGCCTGGGGACAACCTGCAGGTGCCCCCCCCCACCTCACCCCCAACCCCCCTGCTCCTTCAAGCCTTTACTTGTGGGTCCCTTGGCCTGGAAAGCCCCTTCCCTGCTCTCCCTTCTTTGCTGGTGAGAGTCCCATCGCTCCTTCAAAGGCCAGCCCCGTGTTTCTTCCTGAGCAGCGGATGTGCCCCCCCCCACTCTCCCCCAGTGCTCCCTGCCGGGGCTGCCAGCCATCCCCTCTTAGGTGGCAGTCCCATGCAGATGCGCCTGGCCTCCCGACTTTTCCTGGCAGCCCTCCCACTCTGGCTGGGCGCCCCTCCTACGACTCCCTCCCAGAAGGGCGGTCTGGCGACTCCTGCCCTGGCTGGACACACACTTGGCCTCAGATGTTCCCTGCGCCTCCCGGGGGCCCAGCCCTGGGGCATGGATGGGGGCAGGGGCAGCCCTGGGTCCCCAGGAGACTCCAGACCCCGCACTGCCCAGCAAAATGGTGGCAGACAGGGCTCGGGAGGGGAGATCCAGTGCATGGACAGTGATTATCCGGTAGGACGACAATGGGGGACTAAGTCCTGCACATTGGCCCGCGGGACCGTGGCTCATTGCACATACTCAGCAAAGTCCTTTCAGTCAACAAATATCATCCCAATATCTCCTCTGAGCTGACACCCTCTGGGCCTTCTAAGCCTCTACTTAAAGATGGGCTTACTATTCTCGCTTGGTGTGAACGTGGCCAAATGAGAGGCCACAGATCGTGACCATCTTCTCAGTGTCAGTTCCCAGGGGAAAAACCAGCACCACCGACTCGGCATTGTCACGAAGGCTTTCTTGGCCAGAAGCACGCAGTTAGAGCCCTCGTCAAAGCCGCCTGTGTTGGGGCATACTCCCTAGTTCTCAGGCGTTGGAGCACTGGGGGTGCTCAGTGCTGATGCTGGGGACAGATGTGTGCAGAGGACCGCCCCCCCCCAGGCCTGAATGTGTGCCCCCACCCCTGGAGATGTCCTCCTACCTCCAGCCGGGTCCGGTCCACGTCCTTGGGCAGTTTGACACGAATTCGGTTGGTGACAATGAGGGCATCATAAGGATAGATCTGTGGGGAGAGGAAGCTGCAGGTTCACCCTAGGAAGCAGGTGTGGGCCGGGACCAAAGGGCAGAGCCGAAGGCCAACGGAGAGTACATACTTGCGCCGGCATTGGACACACACATTTCATAGGAAACCACAACAAAAGGAACTTTTAACCTGGGCAGCTGTGTGGTGGCGGGAAGAGGTCGGCGTGGCAGCGGGCGGCCCCTCTTACCTTGTATTCTGTAAGAGACAGAGCAGAAGCCACGCGTGGCGGTTTAGAAAGCGCGGGAACGTGGTCCAGCGGCAGAAGCAGTCCCGTCCTGGGGACACCACCCCTCCACCCCCTGCACTGGGTCGCTAGTCCTCGGGGGGGCAGATTCTGTGGAAGGAACCGGGGAGCAGGAGGCATGGTCAGGAGGCTGGAGGCCAGACTGGGAGCCGGATGCAGCACCATGTTCCTCAGGCACGATACTGTCTTCCTGGATTCCGGGCCGCCCTGAGAACGCGGCCGGCCTCGGTTTACCCACCTGAGGAGCCGACCTTCCAGGGTGGTTTTGGGGGCATTGCAGAGATGGACAGTTGCGCAGGGTCTGACCCCTTGGCCTCTTACTCTCTTACCTTCTTGACCCTGTAGCTCCTCCTTTATATTCCTGAGTTCCCCACGCTCGCTTTTTTTTAAAAGTTTTTTCTGCCAGACTAAAATTGCCGTGTCAGAAAATAGACTTGTATGGATCAGAGGGCCTCTGTGAATGCGTAGAACCCACAGAAAGCAGACCCCTAGGACATGGGCCGCAAGCTGGTCTTGGGAGGGGGACCCTGACAAGGGGCCTGGGCGACATGGGCCGGTCCCCAAATTTCCCAGCGGGCCCCACACAACACCCAGACGTGCCAGCTCTGAGCCAAGTGCAGGGGGCTGGCTGCGAGCCCCCAGCGTGAGCCCCCAGCATGAGCCAGCAGCCCATGAGTGCACGCTCCTGCCATGCGGGGTGACAGGGGTGAGTGAGCACCCCACCCAGGAGGGGCTCAGAACCAGCAAAGCCCAGTCAGGCTCCTGCCAGGCAGCCGGGGTCACACCAGGAGCATCAGCTTCTGGCAAGCAACCTTCCTGGTTCGAAGCCCGGGAGCCCCACACAGCCGGGAGGAGTGGGAGGCAGTCTGGGACCTGAATTCATTTGACTCAGACCCCAGAGGCATTCTGTTGTGATGCTTTCCCCCTTATTGTCACAGAATGTAATGGTGGGTGATGGGGTTGGCCTCAGTCCTGGTACAGGACGGCGATTCTGACACACAGCTCTCTCCCCGGGTGACCGGAGTGACCAATGGATCGGGACAGGGTCAGCTGTCCTCAAGGATGAGGAGGAGGGAAGGGAGCATGTCATGTAACATAAAAATGGAAGTAACCAGCTCCCCAAGAGGTAACGAGTGCCCCCATTTCCCCCCACTGCGCGACGCTCGGAGCCTTTGCCAGGTGGCCCCAGAGGGGCCCATCTCAGAACGAGATTGTGGGAATGTGTAAGAGACCCCTGCCCAGCCAGAGACCCATGGGGGTCCCCGCATCTTGTACCTCGCGTGCCCCAGCTGGCATCCAGGTCTGCTCCACCAGGGGCCAGATTGGCATTCTGGAAGAGAAAGAGAGAAGGCGGCAGGAGGCAGGTTGCTGGGGCGGGTGGTCGTGCCTTGGTGCTGCCCGGCCTGGGTGGGAGGACAGTGGGCTCCCCAGAGTCCCTGGTGCCTCGGCTCTGGAAGGGCCATGCTGAGACACTCTTGGCGGATTTGCTCGCACGCCTCCCCCTTGCCTTCCAGGCCAGCACAGACCCTGCCTGGCCCAGCTCTTCTGCCCGCCTTCCGAGCCTCCTCCCTGTGCCCCACGACACCCTAGGCGTGCAGCCTAGCCTGCTGTGGAGGCCAGCCTGCGGGGGCCTCTGCTCCCTCCAGACCCCGTGGTCCCCAGGCACCCAGGAGGGCTGGTCCGTACAGCCCCCGGACAGAGCTCTGTGTGCCCGAGCAGCCGTGACAGAGGATGGCTCTCAGGTGGGGACATGCCGAAGGAACACAGGCCACCGTCTTAGGTGTCTGTCTCCCTCGTTCACGGCAGTTGTCAGCGGACTGTCATTTCCATGCAACTCCACCACCCAGGTCGGGAAGTCTCTTAACTTCCGCTAGCCTGAAAAAAACCACCCCACACACCACTAAGGGGGGTCTGGGTCCCCAAAGCAGGTGCCGAGCCCCTGTATCTCTACCCCCAACTCCTGTGTCTGGCACGATACCACGAGTCCAGCTCTGCTATGGCCCCCGGTCCACAGAGCCGCTGGAAGAACATGGCTCCTACAGGCCCAGCACCTGCTCTGGGGTCTGACATGGGCCCTGGGATCCTGCAGTCCCAGGGCTGGGTCACGCCTTGCTCTGGACAGGGAGACTGGCAAAACACGGTCAGCACTAGTTCCGGAAGCACAGGAGTGACCTGCAAGGAGCAGGTGTCCTCCCAGAGAATGTGCGGGCAGCAGACAAGCCCCAAATCCTTCATCCCAAACAGGGGAGACAAGGAGGGTGAGTCGGGCAAGCATGTAAGTGGAGGGTTGGAGCCGGTCTCTATGTAAATATTTGGTGTTTTGTTCATCATGAATTTTCTTGCATTGACTTGGATTTTAAAAAACACTGCCTTAGAACAAGATTTACATTGATTATGGAGCCTTTTGGCAAGTGCCCCACTCGCCTCACCTAGTGTCAGCCCTGGGCCAGGTGCCCTCACCCCCATCCACTCTCCTGACCATCACAGAATCACACTCCTTAGCAGTTTGCAAGGACAGATTTTGAGACATTTTCTCATGACACTGAGAAGCACTCCCTATGCGCACCTGTCTGGTCCAGAAACAGGTTCCTGCCCAAGGCAAGGTAAACCTGCTCTCCAGGCGCCTTCTCTACCACTTGGCCCGTCAGTGATGTGGAAGAGAGAGGCCTCCCCCTAGTGCCCACTGCCCTGCATCACAGGCCACTGACTCAGGTCACCACCACCACCTCAGGCATTTAGAGCATCCACTGGTCTCAGGCTCTGAGGCCGGACAGAGACTCCCAGGAGAGAGGGAAGGGCATCTTCTGGGTGGACGGGAGGGGGACCGAATCAGTCCAAAGCAGGGGAAAAGCAGTCTACCTTTGGTCCTCTAAGTGCCCAGGATCTCCAAGACCTCTCTGGTACAAGGAAACCTTGTGGTCATTCCTTAACAGATGGGGTACCCAGGGGAGCCCCACAAGGGCAGTGCCACCGGGCCCACCACTGGCTAATTCCCTTGTGGTTCTCAACAGAGGCACCAGAGAATTGAAAAGCAACAGATTATTTGCCTCCCCCATTGGTTTGGAGTTTACTAGTCGCCCACTACCCTTACAGATATGGTCTACAAGTTTTGCTGTGAGCCTAGGAGGTGGGCGTCATCCTTGTGGTTTTATGGATGAGGCTCAGAGAGGTCAAGGAATGAGCCCAAGATCACACAGCAATACACAAAACTGTAAACATTTTAACCCATGTCTTTTGCTTCTCAAAGATGATACTGGAATTGTTAGTAGTAGGAATGAAATGAGCCCATTCAGGGCTCATTGTTACTGTCCTGCCAAGCTGGAATATGCCACTTAGTAGCCACCAGCGTGGAAGGAACAAGGGGTTGGAACTTGCTTTTGTAACAATTACTCTTGTAGTAACCAAGCTACAGAGCTTAGGATATTTCACGTGTTTTAACCGTTACTTGTCCTCACACTGATCTTACGAGGTCAGGGTAACTTCCTTTTAAAGCCAGGAAGTAGAGCCTCAGGAAATACAAGTGACTTTCCCTAAGACATACACCGGGCTGGTGGCAGAGCTGGGATTTGAACTCAGGGCTCAGCGCGGCAAGTGTCCTTTCCGGTGTCACCATGGGAAAATACCAGACTTCTTTAATTTATTCAGATTTCCTTGTACACAGGCATTTTTGCAAATGCTTTACAGGCATATGAAAACCTGATTCAAAAGGTAGAGATTTTTCCCATCTACCTAGTAGATGGCTTGCTGTTTGCACTATTCAATCGCTCCAAACGACTTTTACTACTTTTTTGTTGTTGTTGTTCATTAGATCCACACGTCTGATTCCAAATGCCATCTTGAAAGTGCCTCCCGTCTTGAATTTAATGAGGGTGCCAGCACAGGCGTGCTGCTGGGTGTGCTTAAATGTACGAAGGCTACGCCTGCTGAATGAAGTATCATCATGAGCTAGAGTCCCCTTTATTGCTATTAGAATCTGTCAACCAGCAGGAGAATTCAGTCTCTACGTATTCGCCATCAGGGTTTTTCTGTCAGTGGCCAGTGGTCGTTCTGTTAATAACAGACCAGGGGACACATGCTGAGGGCCATGATGCCTTACTCATGGGAGCGCCTGTGACAGGTGACTACTGTACAATTTATTCCACAGAGAGGAGAGCTTCCGCCATGAGTGGGCTCCGTGGCAGACTGGTTAGCGGGACAATTAAATGAGCTCTGGGACTCAGGGTGCTGGTCCCTTGTGACAAATCTCTCTCAAAGCAACAACTTGAAACCTCTCCCCCCACCCTGCCCCCGCCATGAATGGATCTCCTTCCATTGAACAAGAACTACACACCAGTGATGTTTGCCTCTTTGCCCTGGTTACTAGGAAGCTCAGAGCTAAGCTCCAGCGGTTTGGCTCATACAATATTCTTTTGTTTCTGATAGGATTCTGATACATAATTTCTTTCAGAGTTTCCTTCTCTGCCCCTTTGTGATTTGGGGTTGGTGGGTTTCTGGTCTCAGTGTGCCTGTGTTTTTCCTTCAGGCCGCCTAGAATCCTTTCTGGAAGTAGAGACACACACAAAATAAAACCAACCTAACAAGTAGCTTGTGAGGACTGTGGGCAATAGACAGTAGCAGGTGACCACATCCAGGTGCTGAGAATGGCCGCACCGTGAAAGGCTAATCATTCAAAAGCTCAAGTATCTGGCCTTCCTACTGAGAAATAGGCATAAAATTACATAAAAGCCTTAGAATGTCTGAAAAAAAAAACAGGAAAAGAAGCTTCGCAGGGAAAAAGAACCCTAAAGCGAAGTCGCCAGTGCTTGTCCCCAATTTCCCATGTCAGCAACATGAAAAGCTAATGATCTTCCCAAGAAGACACACCCCCAGCATCTGCAGGACACACGGGCTTCCCACCCTTGAGACCACAGGAGGAACATTCTCAGAGGCTCAGCTCTAGACTCTATAAAGCTCTGTCTAGCCCCTGCTCTCCCTAGTTCTGAGAGAGGGAGTGAAGCCTGCATCCATGCTGGAATGTCTGATCAGCTGTTCCCAGCTCGTTTGGGGCTGGGTGCGTGTGGCGGCTGTGGCCTTTTCTGCAAGTGCTGGGAGCATCGATCCAAGCCATTCCAGCATGAACCAAGGAGGACATCTCCCCAGAAGATGTGTGGCCCAGGCCCCAAGGCTAGAAATGTGGAGCGTTCCTCCCTTAATTGTCTTCCACATATTGAGGGACAGTCCCAGGACTTGGCTTGAGGGCTAGAATACCGCTACCCTCCTGGGCCCCCGAGTCACAGAAAAGCTGTTCCAGGTGCAGAGGACATTCCAGAAGGCTTCCCCACCACCCTCAGGTCCCCAACCCTAAAGCCCAAGAGTTGACATTTCCTGGTGCTGTGGGGGTCCTGTGGACGTCCTCCTGCCCCCTGCCCTTGCCGTGCCCACCCTGCTGTCCACTGAAGAGGAAGCGTAGAGAAATCCTTAGAAGAACATTGAGAGAAGCATGCGGCATGCGAGCCCTGAGTGAGCCTGTTCCTGAACGGGAAGTGCGGTTAGTGGGAAGGGGGCTTCACTGGAGTCAAGCCATGCAGAGGTGGCTGGGCACCAGTTGCGAGGTATGCCCTGGTGACCGGAGGCGGTGGTCCAGGCGTTACACACTATTGGCGAGACCTCTGCTATGCAACACACAGGGGCCTCGAATTCTGAGCACCTTCTTTGGTGGAATGACTTGCCCCAGTTTTTGGACAAACATCCTTAGACGGGAGAGGCAGCCCGAGAGGGGGTGTCCTGGGGTTTTATAGGGGGGCCTCTGGTACCATCATGCCTGCCCCACCCCAGGGGTCCTCACTGGGGACTAGTGAAGCTGTGGGAACAGCAACAAAAAGTCGCCCAGCCCCTCCGTAGGGACAAGTCAGGCACCAAACTCTCTGGGCTCACATTCCAAGATCCCTGATTGGGAAGACGGCATGGGGAAGTCCAACCAGCCTTTAGCTGGGAGCAGCCAGAGCCAGCCAGCTACAGAGTGTGGAATCCAGGAAAATTATGGGCGCAAGTGGCAGCATTAGCAGTGACGGTAATGGTCCCAGATGCAAATGGCACTGTTTATGGTGACAGCTGGAGGCAGTGGCAGTGAGGGGACGATACACTCCAGGAAGGAAGTGGATCCGTGGTTCATGTTGCTCACCAACTAGCTGATCCTGGAAGCCCCTCACTAGGCTCTGGGTCACAGAAGAATGATGTGGCTCGGAAGGGAACTTGGGGTCGGAATGCTCTGCGTGGTGCTGTCTCCCCCTCCCCCACACAGAGGTGTCCTGGGCCGGGGGCGGGGTTAGACAGGAGGAAGGGAGGGGGTTCCAGTTCTGGTCTGATGGTGGTCTGCAGAGGGGCCAGCACAGCCCCCAGGCAGGGCAGCAGGTGGAGGCGGTAGGCAAGCGGGGTCCCCAGGCCCCTCCTTCCTGCCGCGGGGTCAAGAAGCTATGGGCTCCATGCTCAGGCTCCTGGCGTGGCATGGTTAGTATCCCGCGAGCCAAGGAGGCGTTGAGTACCTACCCGATGGTCCAAGCCATTCTTTCCGTGTCCTGGGGGAGGGTCAGATTTGGAATAGGGGAGTCCTGAAACAGACACAGCATAGCCCTGTCATGTACGCACGGAGGCCCCGCCCCTGCTGGAGGGGCCATGCCCTGCCTCCATCATGACCTCCGTCCCCAGGAAGTCAGCCAGCAGGGGTGTGAAGACCCTGAGCCCGCCTAGGACACCAGGAACCCCGTGGCACCCTCTTGGGCACCTGTGTTTTCTGGCAGCCTCAGGCCCGGGCATCACCTGTCACCCAGGCTGAGCTCCTCATCCGGCAGACCCGGAGAGCTGGGGAAAGGAGCAGGAAGGGCTCCGCATGGGGGCGTGGTAAGGGCTGTGCCATCCTGTGCCAGGGCAGCAAATGGAGGCCCGTCATCAACCAAAGGTTGTGAACTGTTTTACTTTTTTAAATGATCATGAGCTATTTGCCATTGGGGGAATTTCACATTAAAATCCTAGTTCGGCTTCTCTTGAAACAAAAAAGGGCAGGTCTGAGACCACGGGAATCCCACAGTTGAACCGGCTGTACCACTCGTATTCCTGGCTGCCCTGCATGGGCCCCGGGCTCTGACTCTCCCAGTTAACCCTCTGCAATGTGTCTGGAGAGTGTGGTGTGGGGATTCTCTGCTATGGCCTTCGGGCTCAGGGGAAGGATATGTGGCAGCACGGCAGAGCCGAGCCCCCTGCAGTGGCAGGACCTCCCTCTCCTGGGAGAAGCTCCTGGGGTCCTTGCTCCTAGCACTGGGCTGACCCTGAGCAGCTCCGGCAATAACAAACAGGACCAAACGCCAGTGCCCACTGCGGGAGCTGCGAGGCCGCTAGCCTGGGCCCAGTGGGTGGCAGATTCTGTCTCCTGGTGTCCACAAGGCCATGTGCATCCATGGGACCAAGAACTGAACCTTGGCCAGAGCTGAGGTGGGTACCATGCACAGAACTGTCTGCCCACCCAATCCAGGACCCAAGAAGGCTCATCCAGAGGCCTTTCCTCTCAGGGAGTCCTCACAAACTCTGGGGGCTGAGATGACACTCTGCACGGGTCACGTGTGGACCCAGGAAAGACTGGCAGCGACGCCTCAGCTGGGGAACCTATCCTGGGTACTTGTTTGCACCTACATGGCCTGTCGGAAGGTCCCGGATGTGGGTCCGAAAGGGCCTTTTGCTACATCAAGGTCAGGGTTCTCAAACTTCTTTTAGCAAAGAGATTTTATATGAAATCCAGCATCGAAAAGAGGGGGGCAGGGGAGCTGGACACAGAAGAGGGACAAGGGGCTAGACCTGCCGTGCCACCCCTGTTCCTCCTAGCCTCTCTGAAGACTCCCATTCGACAGAGGGGGAATCGAGGCCCAGATCAGGGGGCTGGCCATGGTCACACAGCCCTGGGATGCCAGACAAGGCCCCCAACTCACAGTCCTGGGCTCCCTCCTAATTTACACATAAAGCCAGGCATGCTTGGGGATGTGAAGCTGTAGGATTGAGGATCTGAGGGACCCTCCACTGAGACACAGGAGCTCCTGATCCACAAAGATGCTGGAGCAGTGGTTCTCAAAGTGGGATCCCTGACCGGTGGCATCAGGCTCCCTTGGAATTGGGTAAAGAGGCAAATTCTCAGGGCCTGCCCCCAACCTCCTGCTTTGGAATCCCAGGGCTGGGGTCCCATGAGCTGTGGTTTACAACCCCTCCAGGGCATTCTGATGGACACAATGGTTGGGGACCTTGAGAAGAGCCATGCCCTCACCTCTGTCCTGTGCCTGGAGGTGCCGCTGTCACCCAGACCGCTGTCACAGGGTCCCGTGCTCAGGCTGCCTCCTGTGGTCTCTGCATCTGACTGCTTTGTATAAAGTCCAGAGACCCTACTTCAGTAGGTCACTCTGTTCTCCTGACTTTGTGATGACAACTGTCCTGAGTGTCTCTTCTACCTACTTGGAGCCCCCATCGCATAATGTCACAAATTCTGCTTCAACCATCAGGCAGGATTTCAGAACCTCGTGGAAAGGAGAAGAGTAGATGATATTTGCCCCATTTTTACCTCTTCAGATGTCCTCTCCGTTCCGAGGCCCAGAGTCTTCTCTTACCATGTCTCTCTGCTTGGACACCTGCCGCCTGCGATTTTTTAAACATCTGCTTGTGAAAAATGCTTAGTGTTCCTTTGAGAATTTCTTAATTTCCCCATTCATTCCCGCAAGATAAACCCCTTAGTGCAGAATTTGCGTTGACAGCAACTGTCCTTTGATACACGGAAATAGGCCCTTTCCTTCTGGCCCCGTGGCTTCTGCAGAGAAACCCCCTGTCTCCAGGTGGCCTTGTCCTCCAGGGAGTCCGTCTGTCTTCTGCTGCAGCAGCTCTCAAGACCTGCCACCCTCTTTCAGATTTCAACCGTTCTCGTGGTAACTGGGTTGGGCGTGAACTGCCTTGGATTCATCCTACTTGGGGTTCTTCAAGTTTCTTGAACCTGTAGGTTTAGATCTCTGGCCACCATTGGCAGGTGTTCAGCCGTATCTTTGTTTTTTGTTTTGTTTTGTTTTTTAAAGATTTTATTTATTTACTTGTCAGAGAGAGAGAGAGAGAGAGCGAGCACAGGCAGACAGAGTGGCAGGCAGAGGCAGAGGGAGAAGCAGGCTCTCTGCAGAGCAAGGAGCCTGATGTGGGACTTGATCCCAGGACGCTGGGATCATGACCTGAGCCGAAGGCAGCCGCTTAACCCACTGAGCCACCTAGGCGTCCCTCAGCTGTATCTTTGAATGCTTTTTCCAGCCTGCTATCTTCACTCCTCTCAGGATTCTACTGTGAGATGCTGCCCCCCAGATCTCTGAGGCTCTGTTCAGTTTCTCCCTGCTGTTTTCTCTCTGTTGCTCAGACAGAGTCATTTCTGCTGCTCCATCTAGGAGATTGCTGACCGCTCTTCCATATTCTGTTATGCTGTTTCTGAATCCATCTAGTGAATTTTTAATTTTGGTTATTTTCTCTTTCAGTTTCATAGTTTCCACTTGATTCTCTTTTTTCTTGTGGCGGGGGGGAGGGTGGTAATGTCTATTTCTTTGGTGAGGTTACCTTTCTTTATTTCAGGTGTTTCCAGAGAATTTGTACTTGTTTGCTGAAGCATTTTCTGAGTGGCTGCCCTAAACATCCTTGTCTGGGAACCCCAACACCCGATTCTTGTCAACATTGTATCTGCCACTTGTCTTTGCAGGTTCAAATTGGCAAGTGGCTCTTGGTGTAGGGTGTGGTCCTCTATCGTCTCCCAGACATAACATCAGAGGACACTGGGTCCTGGAAGAGCCTTCTATTGGAGCAGCTGCCGCCTGTCTGGGCCTGGTGCATTACAGCCTGTGGTTCTGAGGACAAGGTGGTTTTCAGAATGCTTATCAATGTGCTCTTCTGGTCTGCCTAGTCCAGCTGGAGTTCCTGGGATGGTCTGTGTGTGTGTGGGGGGGGGTGTGCTTCCCCATTTGCTCTATGCCCCGAGGTGGAGATGGGAGACACAGGCTGCCATGGGGAGAGTCTCCTGGGCCCATCCTCCTGGCTGCCCCAGGCCTTTTGCTTCATACCTACCCATGCAACCTGGGGAGGAAGATGTCACCTGGCCACCCGGAGCTGCTGCATGAGAGGTGGGAGACACGGGCCCTGTGTTTTCCTTCAAGTCCTGAGGTCCCTAGCCAGCCCACCTTCCTCTTTCCACCCTCAAGATTTCTGCAATTTGTCTGCTGTATTGTTTTTTTTTTTGGGGGGGGGGGTGTTGGGGTTATACTTAGTATGGATGAGCAAGGAGAGAGGAGACTCCCCTATCTTCCCCTCCCCCCCCAGCTGCCATGTTGACCCATCAAACTTGGCCTCTCTGGGGCTAGGAGGAGCCATCAGCAGATTTTAAAGCAGATTTTAAAGGTCCCAGTGACCTTTAAAGGTCCCAGGGCAGTCAGGGTTGAGAGCCGCTGGCTTAAAAAGTCCCTTTGCACATTCAGAGACTTTCCCTGGCCCTCTTAGGCCTGTGCATTCCATGGGACCTCCTCTTATAGGTAAGGAAGCTGAGGCCCCGTGAGAATAACAACCCCTACAAGGTCAATGTGTGCTCCTGCAGAGGAGAAAATGAGAGCCTTGGACTTCTGGCTTCATGAACCAGTGATCCTGTCTGCACCAGTGGCTCTGTGCCTGTGTGGGTCTGCAGGTGTGGGTGTCTTCTGGGCACCTGCGGGTCAGATGGCAGCAGGTAGCTGTGGGAGTGTGTGCTGTGTGTGTGCACAAGAGAGAAGGTAGGTCTGTCGGACCTGGGACGGGGCAGCAGCTGGGAATTTTGAGTCTCATTGGTCCCGTAAGCACTGAACACCAGCCATCTTCATGTCCGTACTCAGTACAAACAGACTCCCTTGCCACCTCCTCTCAGAAGCCCACCTGTGGCAGCCTTGCACTCAGCAGTCTGCGCAGAGTCTCCTTGGGTCTGTAGTTCTTCTGCACTGGCTGGCCAGAGGTCAGTGGATCTGGTGGACATGTGAGGAGAGGCCCAGATACAGCTGGAAACAAGCAGCTCATCACCATCTCCGGGGAGGCCCTGTGCACAACTGAGCAGGAAGGCCCTTCCCTGGGCACATCTTCCACCAACACCCGGATGTGGAACTTGGCAGCCGCATGGCCCTGCAGGGGTTGGGTCCAGGAGGGGCTGGAACGGCCTTCAGTTCTGAGTGACTATGAGCAGGAGACCCGAGGATTACCCAAGCTCCAGGCTTCCAGAAGCAAGCAAGACGGGCACACGGCAGCTAGGCTTGTCGTCTTGACCATGCATTGCCATGACATCCCCGAGGCTCAGGTGACAGGATGCTCGAGGGCTCACAGGTGAGCCCCCACACCCTGATGCTTCCTGCCAGCATGATGGGATCATCCCCATTTTTACAGATGAGGCCATTTTAAACACAGACGAGTTTGCTCTAATGCCCAAAGTCACACAGCAAGTGACAAGCTGGGATTCAAGTGTCCGTGGACCAGCACCCAGATCTAGCACTCTCTGCTGGCCCATCCTGTGATCTCGAGGACACTGTCGCTGTCTGCGTCA